ATTCTGTTAAATTAAAATTCTCTTGAATAAAATGTCCTGTAAATTAAATGACTATAAAATAAAAATTCTACCAAACAAAAATTCGGTACCTAAAATTTCGTTAAGTAAAAATTCGTATAAAAATAAGTTCTTTCAAATGCTAATACGAAAAATGAAAATTTATCAAAAAATTGATTCTAATAAAATTCTTTAAAATAAAAATTTTAGTTAATGATTTTTATGGGATAATCATGCGCCCCTTCCCTTCTAGTGTATAATTGTGAGGGAAAGAAAAAAATTCCTTATTCGATAGTATAAAAATTGATAAATCATTTATTTGTTCAGACACAATAGGAAAGTGTGAATAATGTGAGCTAAGATAAATATATACAAGATGAAGAATGTGAGAGGAATAAGAAGAGAATGCTATATAGTATATCATTTTTGCAATCTATGATTCAAGTCGATCCTTTTAAGTGCAGTCTAATTATTAGCGGTTGATTGGATAAGCACATACACACACAGACACGTCGCGTTATATGGTTATTGGCGCCATGCTTGTATATATTGGCGATAGAAGTGGGTGCTCTAGACAAACTGGTATGGGCTGTCTCAGACGTATTGGTATGTTGGCAATGGTCGCCTCAGCTATTTTGAATGGTCCGCGCACAAAGAGAGAAAGAGAGAGAGAGAGCAATAATCATGTGAGATACACACTTTAGATGAACATGCGGCAAATGGGTATCAAATTAATTCTCAACATACATTGTGTATACATTTCGTCTTCAATTGGACTAAAACAAAATTTACGTTGTACTTAATATCAATTTATGTATGTATAAATGTTTAGTTAAACCAACAAATTTGTATGCAATTAATTTTCTCGAATCGCATAAATATTAACTTACATTTAAGATCTGTCGGAATTTTTGTAGTATCGAATTAAGAATCATCGAATTTTTAATTAACCGACTTTTATAAAGTAGATTTTATAATGAGCCGTATTTATTCATATCGGAGAATTTTTATTTAACTAAACTTTTATATTTAAATAAAAATCCATAATGATTTGTATTGATCTCTTGATTAATAAACAAAGCTGAAAGTACGCAACGTTTATGATAAACGATTTTTAAAGAACTAATTTTTTAAAATGAAAAATTCTATAATTTTTTACCTAAAAAATATTTTTTTCTTTGTTGATAAATAAAAAATACAAAAAAAAATTTTTACGCAAAAAATTATAAAATTTTTCATTTTAAAAAATTATTTTTTTAAAAATCGTTTATCATAAACGTTGCGTACTTCAGCTTCGTGTTTAATAATATATTTTTATGTTTACATGGGTTTTAGAATTCGTAATAAAAATCTGCTTTGATTTTGTATTTAATTTCTTGATTATTATTTATTATTTCTAACTTTTGTTATTTGACCAAACTTTCACTTGTCCGAATTGTCATTTGATAGAACTGTTAAAACGTCGAATTTAGAATTTAATAGAACTTTCACATATCGGATCATATACATACCCGTACGAAACATTTCAGCGGGAGTTTTTAAAATTCATCTATGAAAAATTATCTTAAGACAAATATGATTGGTTGATTTTAAAATTTTCGCTAAAATATTTTGTTCGGGTGTGTATACGATCCGATATGTGAAAGTTTCTGCAAATGGAAATTCGACGTTTTAATACAGTTCTATCAAATGACAATTGGAAGAAGTGAAAGTTCGATCAAATGGAGTTTCGGTGAAATAGAAATTCTCTCACTTAAAAATTCAGCTAAGTAGAATTTCTGTTAAATGAAAATTCTGTTAAATAAAAATTGAATTCTTTTTTTAAAATGAAAAAATATAAATGTGTTTCGAATATACATGTATTTATTTTTCTATTTCTGATGAGACACTTCTACTGCTATCAGGAAATTGAAATTGGTGAAATGAGCAGTGTGACAGCTCTGTGGGCTTTAAATTGAAAATCAAATCCTGATGTTCAGATATATCGCATAATATATTATATTATGTATGTTATCTTCAATATAGATCAATCATCAATTCGAAAATCATCTTATTGAAAATGCTTTTCATTTTTCCAATAAGAAACGATTTTAAAATTTGAACATTTCGTTTAATACTTAAATAAATAAAATAAAATATGCTTCTGTTGGTAAAACAATTTGCTATTTAAAGTTTAATTTAACATAATTCTCAATTTACAGAATTTTAAAATGAATTTTTAAATCTATTTTAAAATGAACCGATTACAATATTTTTGCTTAATTATTAATTCATTAAAATTTATTTAAAGAAAAAATAAATAAAAAGAAAATTGGAAATTAAATTGAAAATATAAAATAAAAATTCGACTAAACGTAAATTTCGTCTTTATTAAACTCGATTTTTAAAAATTCGGTCAAAAGTAAAATCGGTTATATGTATATAATCAATAAATAGGACCGTATAAAATGGATAAATTGAATAAAAAAAAAATAATTTCCATAATTTTTAAAAATACACTTTAATCTTGTATATAGAAAGGAATTTATTCAAAACGTGATTTTTTTGGGTTGAGTGAACTGAGTTTCCTTTTTATTAAGAATGCACAACTGCAAGTTTACCCGAAAATGCCTCAGCGTGTCAGAAAAAGCGAAATATTGTGGTTGATATTGACGGTAACACAGTGAACTGCGCTCATATAATATGTGCAAAATTGCTGCTTCATCCACGCACTCTGAAAGAGCAATGGCTGCGACAAAAAGAAAGAAATCGACCTCTAGAGCTATGTGACTGAGTCACTATGAATATGTGTTGGGCTTATGTGTGGATACGTCTGTAAAGATAAATCTGTTGAGATTAAAAGAAAAGAAGAAAAAAAAAGAGAGAGAGAGAGAACTAAAACCCTCGAATACAGAACACAGCATGCATTTTTACACTCATGCAAGCCTCAAGATATACGAATGCGGATTCTCTTCAGACGGTTACAAAAACAAAATTGACGGAGACTCAAAATTATTTTTGATAAAAGCAAAAAAAAAAAAAAAAACAAATTCCCAATCGTGTGAACTTAACGATATTAAAAAAATTTCTATTACTTTTTTTTTTTAATTATTTTTAAATACTGAAAAATTTATAACAGAATATTTATGTAACCAAAAATTCACTTTCTATTTCATCGATTTTTTATGTGACAGAAATTATCATTTGGTTTGAATAAACATTTGGATGAGAATTTTAAAATTAACCAATAAAAAATTTCTGGGTAATTTCAAATTGATTGAGTTTAAAATTCGCGCCCAAAATTTTCGGAAATTATTTCAAATAAATAAAAATTCGGACAAATAAAATATCTTTAAAAAAAAAATAAATCGAACAAATAAAAATTCGGTTAATAGGAAAATTAAATGTATTGAAAGAATAAAAATTCGTTTAATTTGCTTTTCTGATAAATAAAAATTCGATCTTTTTCAATTTTCTTCTACTGATCACAAAACTGCTGTTTTTGTAAACAAAAAGGGGTTTTTATATTCTGAAAAAAAATTATTACAAGCAACATCAATTTTCTTCTACTTATCATAAAACTGCTTTTTGTTATGATCTGTCAAGTTAAAAAAAATAAATTTTGTAATATGAAAAATCGGAAATATGGAAATTCTGTTTAAAAAAATAATTCGAACAAATAAAAATTCGGCTAAAAGAAAATTCTATCATTTTATCAAATAAAAATTCGAACAAAATTAATTTTAGAGCTTATTCATGCGTCTTGTAATAACAATCTTTAAAAGGGTTTATAGAGAGCAAAAAAATTCTGTTTATAATAAAAAAAAAAAAAACTATTGGGATGTCCGCTAGGGGCGTGGCTTAGCATTTTATCCTACGTTCAGTAGTACCATTTTTCACCACTATGTCTGAAAGTTACTCTGATTGGTTTAAACTAGACAAAAATTGAAAAACATCCTACTTTCAAGGGTTAAAAATTTTTCCAACAGAGAACGCTTCACAGTAACGGACATCCCAATAGTAAGTTATATATGGACACAAGTGTCAAAAATAAGACAAAAACAGAATTTAAAAAAAAAACATGTTCCATAACAGAAGAAACATGTGTGATCTTTCGCACATTTTTATCCTAAAAGCTTTTGGTTTATTAAAATAATATATCAAGAAGAATGATATCATCAATTTACTCTTTAACGCTGTAGAAAATGACTTAATCCAATGGAATCATTACTTTCTAGGAGCGTTTTGTTGTTATTTTTGTGCTTCTTGTATATTGGTGTCATGAATTATGACGAGTTATTAAGAAGAAAAAAGAATTGTAAGAGATTATGAGATGCTATAGAGATAAGATTGTGTAGATTTCTGATATTGTGTACATAACTTTAACATTAATGGGATTTAAAATTTCCTCTCAGATTAAGAATATTCCGTTATTACGAAGAAGAATCATACATTATAGGTTGACAAAAATTTTACTTACTTTTAAGTTTTAAAAAAAAGTAAAAACTTGTAATTATCTAAACCCTCTTTATTGAAAATTAATATTTATTTTCATATATTATAAAGATCAATTAAAAAATACAAATATATTGAAAGTTGATTGATTTCGTAATAAAGAGGCAATAATCTTTTGCTGTTATTGATGACTCACGTTATGCCCTTTCTCATTGTAACGATTCATTGTTATCCCGCAGTTTATTGTACCGATAGTGCTTTATAAAACTACCATTTCCTCAATTGCGATTCAAAAACTATTATTTGTTATATACATATATGTATATTATATGTATAATTCAATACTATTACAGAAATGCGGATCATTGACTTTTATAAAAAAAAAGAAACTAAATAAATTTTATTTACTTTTAAATCTATGCAACAAGTGTTTAACTTATATTTATAAATATTTATCAATTCAAACAATTATTTCATATTTAAAAGAATTTCATAAATATTTAATGAGTTTCTTATCTTTTAGTGCTAATTTTTTTTTCAAGTAATATTAAAATTTAATTTTTTTTTCCTTGTTGCCATAATAAATTGGTTTACAATATCTGATAAAAAAATCCATATAAATGAAGAACAACAATAATTACAGACATATCAAAAATGAGTTTCAATATGAGTCGGTTACTATCAGTGTTTGTGCTTTTAGCATTATTTGGCAGTTCCTTAGGTAAAAAATTGTGTTTTTATTTTTTTTTTAAATTTAGTATTTAATTTTTGATTATAATTTATACAGGACTTTCTGGGGGCGTTAAGGCCAGTGAGGGACAATTTCCATATCAAGTATCTATTCAAACAGATGATGATTTTGGCAATTATTGTGGTGGTTCTATTTTGAATTCAAGATGGATTTTAACGGCTGCAACATGTATAATTTCGTAAGTATTTACTTTTTTTTTAAAAAAAATTAACGTATAAAATTTATTGAGTCTTTAAAATTTAAATTAATGAGACTATAGATAACAATTGAGGACCCCGATTCTATAAGGAGACCTACGCTTGAGGCACCCGCCTTGCGACCAGTCAGGTGGTCCAAAAATGGAAAAAAATAAAATTCAAATTTTTTAAAAACGCTATCCTGTAGGAAATGAAAATCCGCACCTTTTTTCCTTTGAGATTTTTTTATAAAACGAATATTAAAATTAATAGAGGCAAAAAAAGTAGACAGTTTTTTTACGATAATTTAATGGACTTTTAAAACATATAACTCGTCGTAATTTTGCCAAATATTGATGGATTTTTTTGGGTGCATTACTGCTGCAGTATAAGGAAAAATAGTTTTTCACTATTTTCCTTATAACTTCTTTATATTTTATAGAATTAATTCCAAACTTTTGAAAAAACTTCTTTAATATGTAAGAACAAACTTTGTCGCGAGAAGTTTTTCCAGAATGAAAATTCCCTCGATAACTTTTTCAGTAGAAGGTTGAAAAACACATATTTTCAAAATTAAAACTTTATTATTATTTAATTACGACTAGTTATGTTTTAAAAGTCCATTAAATAACAACTCTTTAGCTTTAAAACCCATTTTTCAAAATTATTGTACGATTTTTTAAAAAAAAGTTATGACATTTTGAAATTAACAGTTTCAGTTACGCCAATAGACGTTATACCCAACGATTCTTTAGACAGTTCTTGAGAAAAATATTTTCTAAAAAATCTTGTTTCTACCTTATTGGCTTGAAATTTGTTACTCGGGGGTTTTTGGAGTCGCTGATTGCGAATCTGAAGTCAAATCTTCAAAATTTAAAATGGCTAGAAAAAAGATTAAAAATTTAACTGATCTGGATGAAAATGTTTACTGGGGGGTTTTATCCGCTAAAGTCAGATTTAGCGACCCCCAAAACCCCCGAATAACAAATTTCAAGCACATTAGATGATTTTTTTGTAAAATTCGTCCGCCATATTGGATCCGCCATTTTTAATTTTTAAAATCCGATTTCAGATTCGTAATCAGCGACCCCGAAAACCCCCGAGTAACGAGTTTCAAGCAAATTAGATCATTTTTTGTAAAATTCGTCCGCCATATTGGATCCGCCATTTTTAATTTTTAAAATCCAACTTCAGATTCGTAATCAGCGACCCCAAAAACCCCCGAGTAACAAATTTCAAGCTAATAAGGTAGAAACAAGATTTTGTAGAAAATATTTTTCCCAAGAACTGTCTAAAGAATCGTTGGGTATAACGTCAATATTGGCGTAACTGAAACTGTTAATTTCAAAATTTCATAACTTTTTTTTAAAAAATCGTACAATAATTTTGAAAAATGGGTTTTAAAGCTAAAGAGTTGTACTATGCGACCTTTTCGTCGAAAATTGAAAAAAAATTTCTATCCCAAAAAAAATTATCTAAAATGGCCATTTTTTGACCTTTTAGGCTTCATTTACTAAAAATCCTGACGTGATGGAGCATTTTGATGGTCAGATTCGTTTTCAGCACATAAAAGAAAGAAGTTAAATTTTGCAATAATCGTAAAAAAATTTTCTAATTTTTTACCTCTATTAATTTTAATATTCGTTTTATAAAAAAAGCTCAAAGGAAAAAAAGATGCGGATTTTATTTTTTTCCATTTTTGGACCACCTGACTGGTCGCAAGGCGGCTGCCTCAAGCGTAGGTCTTCTTATAGAATCGGGTTCTTTAATTTAACTTGCAGGTATCAAATTGAAAAGCGGTTTTGATTTTGATATTGTAGATTTAAGATATTTTGATACACGGATTTTGTTATCAATTTGATACTTTAAAATTAATTGTGAATTAAAAATAAACAGTAATCGAACTGTATTTTAGACCAAATACAACTCTATTTTACATTATGGCTGGTACAACAGACTGGACAGATAAAAATGGTACAATCTACAATATTACTGAGGTTGTCATTCATCCAGACAATGCAAATAATCGAGCTATTGATTTAGCATTAATTAAAGTAAAACAGGAAATAATATATTCAGATACTATTAAAAATGTAGAACTTCCTTATAAAGACATGGTAAAACCTTATTTACCTTTAAAAATAAGTGCCTGGGGTGCGTCTAGTATGGTAAGTACTGTTTTCCACTTATTTTACAATAATTAAATTTTAATCGGTCAATTCATTATATTTCACCTAAAAAAAATAATAATAATAAGAATCTAAAATTCATTAGTTAGAATTTTCATTTTATAGAATTTCATTTAATATTTTTTAAAATAGTTTTAAATAGCATTTTAAAGTAATTTTTAAATTTAAAGGAAACAGTTGGACAGACTTCGATTCGTGATCTTCGTTTCTATTCAACGCGAATTGTATCTCAGGAAAGATGTCGTCAAAAATATCCATGGATAAAAGATTGGGAAATGTGTCTTATTAGTAGAAGAGGATATGGTATATGTTTTGTGAGTATATATTTTTAATTTCAATTAATTAAATTAAATACGATTATCATTAAAAAAATTCATCTACCATTTTTTTACATAATACATTCGAGAAAAATATTTTTCTCAATGTTGAATGAAGTAAAAAATATATTAAAATTTAAAAACTTTAATCACAATATTTATAAAAGCGCATTTTTCCACGTTTTGCTTTACAGAAAGATGTTGGTAGTCCTCTTGTATTTCAAGAAAAATACCAACTAGGAATAGCTACAAACCGAGTAACTTGTGGTTCAGGCGATGCTGATCAAGTAATTCGCATTTGGAATTATGTAGATTGGATCAAGAGTGTAATTAATAAATAATATTTTATTTAATCATTACACAAAATCTTGAATAAATTTATATAATACTATTAATAATATAGTATATATTTGTGCCAATATTGGATCGATACAAAAAAAAACTTTTAATATTTTTCACATTATGTATTAATAACGAAATATTTATTTTTTAAATATTTTTATAAGAAATGTATATTACATTACGAAATTTTGTATGAAATAAAATTACTAATCTCATTATAGAGTGATTCGAATTCATTTTTAATGAATTGAAAAATAAATAATGGTTTAAATGTTTCCAAGTTAACATATTCCAAGAAAAGTAATAAATATTATAGTATTTACAAAACATCCCGTGAGTTGCGTTTTATAATGCAGTATATAACTTTCTCAAATATTTCAATTTTCCTTGCGTGCACTTTTTGAGAGGAATATGTTTCTCTGATATAATTGTCTTTGTTTATATATATTCCAATTTTTATTGTAGAAATATTGTTAATTTTTCAATAAAATTTCTTTCAAAAAATATTTTATAGAATGATTAGAAAAAGACAAAAAAAGAAGAAAGCATTTTCAATCGAAGCACAACCAAAGCTTGAGTCCATGAGATATTGTTAAATACTTGGAGTACGCATATACGTACTTCGAAAGGAATGCATGATATATACGAATAGCGCCTATACACATTCTTACTTTCATATACTAAAATACTTACAAAAGTGCATGAATATACGGAGTCTAAATTTGAACGAGGTACTAAACTAATAAACAGTGCTAGCAATTTTATGGCGCAACTCTCCTCCAGAATCGCGACTGAATTTGCTTCTATATGGATGATTTTATAGAATCTCGTCATTTTTTAAGAAGAAATTTGTTTTTTTTTTTTTATTAACTGAAAATTTGGGATGCACGATTATGTTCTAAAAATTATTAGTTAGAATTTTCATTTTATGGAATTTTATTTGTCATAATTATTTTTGAGCCGAATTTTTATTTGTTTGAAATTACAAATAGTCGAACAAACAATCGACAGAAAGATTTCGGCGCTATTTTTAAAATCAACCAATCAAAAATTATCCATAAAATTGTGATTGGTTGATTTTAAAAATCGCGCCGAAATCTTTCTGTCGATTGTTTGTTCGCCCATTTGTAATTTCGGACAAATAAAAATTCGGCGAACTGGAATTTCTGTAATTTAAAAAATTCGTATAAAATGAAAATCTGTAAAATTTTAATTCAAACATTGAAAATTCGTCTAAATAAAATTCTTTAAAATAAAAATTCTAATTAATGATTTTTTTTTGGAAAATTCATTCGCTTCAAATAAACTCTATTTATAAAATCTGGATAAAAATTGCGATTTTTGTCTGAGCTGAAAGAAAAAAAAAACAAAAATGTTAGAAAAATAATTATTTGATACAAAAGACTCAATATTATTTTTTCTGAACAGTATGTACCTTCCAAAATGTATATTGAAATTCATTTTTATTACATTTTAATTTGCGTTAAAAACGTAGTTAAAAATCATTTTTTTAATTTAAGGTTATGTTATATTATATTTCTCCAGTTTTGTATAAATTTATTGATCAGCGATAATTGAGTTTAATTATATTATTATAGCTGACCTACATGATCATTTCCTTTTTTGATAAAAGTTATATAGTAGAGAATAATTCATTATCTGTGACGAATCGCTATATACTTTGTTATTTATGAGAGTGAATTCAGACTTTGTTTTATGAGTTGTATATTGAATCATTTAAGAAAGACTTTTTTAACTTTTTATATACGGCATTTGTTAATTAAAATCAACTTTTGGATTTTTATCACTTCCTGATATTTATTACAAAATTCAACTGAAATCAATTGATTTTTCTACATTCTTAAAAGTGCAATATTTGTTTTTTTAAAATTAATGATTCGATTTTATTTTTACAATTTTTAGTTTTTTATAAATATTTATATATAAATATTTATATTATATTTATATTTTTAATTGTATTTTATATTTCTGAATGAAAACTGGTATAATACATGTGTTACAAAAGGCATTGCCTATATACAATGAGAATAAAAATAAATGCGTGTTAAAATTTTAAATAGCTTTAAGAAACCAGTCTATTTGATCTTTTTAGAATTATTGACAGAATCTAGGCAACACAGAAACCATAGAAAATCTTCAATACTATTAAAGTCTTTTATATTAAGTCAATCATATGACTTATTTATATGTTAATAAAATATAAGCTATATATTGGTCCAAAGTAAGACGTAGTAACAGTTCGAACAAAATCAAGTAATAAAGCGCGAAGCCCGTGACAAATCAAAAGGTTCATGAAATAATTATCTACATACAATATATAATATCTATGCGGAGTTTTTTTTTTTATTATCATTTATCACCTGTGGCTATAAAATAACGGTTATTATTAATTTTTCATTTTACTTGAATATATATACCGTTTTTTTCTTAGCTGAATTGTCTAATTCAACTTTTTATATCAAAATAAATGAAATACAAAGTTTTATATTATATAGTATTCTATTATATTATAGTATTATAGTATTATAATAATATTATAGTATTATAGTATTCTATTATATTATTATTTATAATAAACATGAATTTTCTAGGTTTTTTTTTTACTTAAGAATTTTTTTGGGCAATGTACCATTTTAAAATATCTTCCCGAGGTACAAATATCGCGTCAAAAATGTTCAACCTTTGACATGGTGGCATAGATTTAAAAAAAACTGAATGTCTAAATAATATTATTAATTAAAGTTGAGATTCCGAATCTGAAGTTGATTTTCAAAAATTCAAAATGTCGGATCCAATATGGCGGACGTAAAAATTAAAAATTCATCGGATTCACTCGAAAATTGTTACTCGGGGGTTTTCGGGGTCGCTGATTACGCATCTGAAATCGATTTTCAAAAATTCAATATGGCGGACGTCAAAATTAAAAATTCATCGAATTCACTCGAAAACCGTTACTCGAGGGTTTTCGATGATTTTTAGTGGTTCAGATAATACAAATTTCTTTTTCTAAATGTTTTCATTTCCAAAGGATGTATTATACTGTTCCGAAAAGTCTGACCATGTTTTTATAATTAATTTCCCTTTAGAAATGAAAACATTTAGAAAAATAAATTTTTATTATCTGAACCACTAAAAATCACCGAAAACCCTCGAGTAACGGTTTTCGAGTGAATTCGATGAATTTTTAATTTTGACGTCCGCCATATTGGATCCGCCATTTTGAATTTTTGAAAATCGATTTCGATTGCCAAAATTTAGGCAAAATTTTTGTACATTTGGTCCTCAAAGGGTTAAGGAGGATGGAGGCCCTAACATAATCTCAAAAGTGAAAAATGATTTTTAACACTACAATAAAAAAATAATTTCAAACAATTTTAGAAGGTCTAGTTTGTTTTTCAAATATAATTGATTTTTAAAAAATTTTCGAAATTTTTTTTAGAAATCGCGCCGAAATTTTCCTTTCGATTGTTTGTTCGGCCATTTACAATTTCAGACATAGAAAAATTTGTCGTTTTAAGAATTCTGTACAATAAAAATTCGATACATAAGAATTTTGTTAAGTAAAAGTTTTTTTTAAAAAGAAATTCTGTCAAATATAAATTCAAAAAATGATAATTCATCTAAAAAATAATTATTTCTAATAAAGTTCTTAAAAATGAAAATTTTAACTAATGATTTTTATGGGAAAATCATGCGTTCCCGAAAAAGAAATTAAAAACTAACGTAAATATTTGTACTAGTACCAAAAACTATCAAAGTTCGCTACTGTCGCAGTACTGGTACCAGTATCACGCCAGTACTGCGCCAGTAGTCAAATTTTGATAGGGAGTGTTTTAATAACATTTTTATTTTTAACACATTTGACTAGAATTTCCGATTAAAACCCTAAATAAGGTAAATGTACACAATTACGGCATGTTAAGGGCCTTCCTGAGAATTTTATTTTTCTTATTTTATCAAGTAACTTAAAATTTAAGAAAACAATTGTATTGTAAAAATTAATCAATCATTTTCAATTTTTCATTTTATATATCTGTTCAAAAACTAAATTTATATTATTTTTTAATATATTTTAAATCCTTTCAATTGTATGTAATTCCGTTTTAAAAATATTGTCATGTAACTAATTCCGTTCCAACTTGTCCATAATTGCGGCATATTCCAGGTTTTCACACATACTTATATATAAAATATCAATTTGTTTGATAATAATTATTCTTATAAGAATATTAATAACATAATCTTAAAATTAGTTTAAGATTGTGTTTAAAAGGGAATTTTTTACACAGATGTCAAATAAAATAATGTTTATTCAAATGATAATTTTTGTAATATTCAGTCATTATTTTTCTTCTTTGGTTACTCGCTTTGGTCATTAACTTGTTTTGAAATAATATTATAAATCATTAAACATATATACTTTACGGTCATCAAATAATACTAGAGGATTCAGTTTTTTAAAAACATCTTGAGCATCGTAGATGAGGATATCGTCTCTATCAAGCCAGCGCCAGTTTGTCCCACTCATTTGATTAATTTTTAATTGATATTTTTTCACATTTTGCTTGAATTATTTTCGTGACAATACCTAATAATTCTTATAAAAAACGATATTTTTAAAAATTTGCCTCTTGAAATGATAATTAATAAGTTTAAAATTAAAGAATTGTGAACAAACTCTTTTTCCATTTTACTTAAACTTAAATACGGCGTATAGCACGGAATAATGAATGTATGTATAAAATGTTTTGAACCTAATTCCGTTCATATAATTTCTAATAAAATATTTCAAATATGGTTAATAAAATACTAGTACGCAATTACCTCATTTGTTTATTTATAATTTCATTTTTTGTTAAAAAATGTAAACACATTTAATATTCTTATTAGATTCATTAAAATAAGTATAATATAAAACAATGTAATTCCCTATTTACGTGTTTCAAACGGAATAATGTACTTCGTGTGAGAAGAGCGAACATAATTCCGTCTATTTAAAAAAGTATTTTTATATAAAGAAAACTTTTAAAAATAATTCAGCAATAGAAAATATAATTTAAATGGATCATAATTAATCAAGAAATTAAAAAATAAACACACTTCACTTTTAATATCCTTACGAAGATCACCTTCAGTCCTAGCTGTCACTTAAAGTATATTGTATTGCACAAAGCTCAGTCGTCGACTGACTGACAAA